TCTTCTTCCTCAAGATTAGCATATTTGCTTTTTACCACACGCTAGCTCTGCATCAATCTTAAGCCGGGAAGACTGAAGGTGAGGACGTGCTCTCACCTCACGTAAGAAATGGTAATTTCTGGATGCCCGCTGATACAAATTCCTAAACTGGTTAATTTCCTGCCAGTGAAGATTTGCAGGATGACACGATTCGATGGAATTGGTCTCGATGTAGGGGAGGAGGGCTTTCAGGCGAGCGTTGAAGAGCCCTTCGGAGTATGGCAAACCAAATAACTGGAACGTCACGCGACATCGACAGCGCGTACGACTGAGCCAATCAGCGCGTTCCCAAAAGGGGAAAAATGTTCGCTGCATTGATTCCTTTGAATTTGCGCCCACGTTATTGGACAATGGCTCGACCAATTGGGACGTAGAAGGCTGAAAGCATTAGTGGATACAGTGTTAGCGAAGCTCTCTTAAATACGACACTGGCCGTAATACATAAGTTCTTTCCTGTCTCTAACCTGAGTAGCAATCGTGCTCTAATCCGCCCGCCTCGCGCTCACTTCCAGTGCTATATAGTCTGCTTTCGAAGTTGAAGCTTAGGAGAAGGTTTGGGTTGGTTTTGGACTGAGAGTTATGACTTGATGGAAGGTACCCTTCATGAAACTTTGATCAAAGTTGCATGTATTTCCGGGAGGTTCTAATTCACTTGGCTTGCTAAGATAAAAATTAATAAATGATTTAATAAGCAGTATTACTGCGTGCCTTTTTCGGCCCTTGTAGTAATTGTAACGCTGATTATCTTCCGTCACCAACATATGACCGGTCGAAAGGTAGGTGAAGCAAAAGTGCCCCTTAAACATGTATTTGACCGCGGTACAAGAAGTTCTTTGGGAGAAATCACTTATGACTAACTGTTTCGTGCGATTCCCATCCGCCTGATGACGACATGGTGAGCCATTGTTGAAAATTTCACTTAAACAACATTTTCCCAAAGAACTTCTTCTGCCGCATTATACTTCTTGGGATGCCGATTTTCCAGTTCATATTTATTTGATCTTCTCTTGGTTGGAAGTTATAAACACAATATCACTCACTCGCATCACTTCTTCCACTTTGTCAACCGCCTTAATGGCAGAATTATGGAGGGCTCGGTACGTGGAGGATAAGGAGTTTGGAGACAAAGCATCACGCAGATATCTGACGGAGGTTAGGGTTACATTTTCCAGAAGACCAATCAAACAAATTCCATCGTTCTTGAATGCATCCAGCGTGTCCATCATGACCACAGCCTCATCTGAGGCTGCAATATAGGATTCATAAACCGCCGAATGGTTCAACAACTGCCACATCTTCACGATTTCGCTCTCAGCCATGAGGGAGAAGGGGTCCAAAAGCTTGACGATGGTTGATTCGAAGTCATCCTGTGTGAAGTTCTTAAAGCCGTTAGCCTAAGAGTAAAAATATATATAATATCAAATTCAGAGCACCATTCACTGAGGATTGTCATCGCTATGAAGCTAAAGTTAATCGGGAAGAACTCTTGTTTGTGATGTATCGGTTAAGATCATTTTACACAGAGCGTGTAGCAATCAATCACGCCGGAATTATCTACGGAGGGATGTAAGTTCAACCATCGGTTTCGACAGAGACCGCCGCGTGCTCCAAAGCAAAGGGATGCAGGGGCGGTGAATTGTGCTAGATTATAGGGAAAATAGACTTGCACTGCATGTACCTCATTCTCTATTCTACTCCTTCACCTGGACTGGGTATCAGGAGAGAGTCAAAAACTCGGTTTTAAAAGAGAGCGTAGGCCCACACACTGTGGATAACCACAATCCAGAATACTCCAGCTGCTCGGATCGCAGAGGATTAGGAGTGCCCGAGAGGCTACATAAAGAAAAATTCCTTGCGGCCTGACTCTCAGTCTGCCAGTCAGTCATTCCGCACAAACAGACACTGAGTTGACCGCGCGGTCCGAGTTGTCCCGTAAATTGGCAACCCTCCGAGCCACGGCTTTTAGTGAACCACGATAGTTTCACGCACGTCATATTGTTTTTTTATATGAGAAAAATGCCTCAAGCTATCGATATCATTCTCTATTCCCATTTCTGTGCACCAACCCAATGTCTGGCCAGTCAGTTTTTTGTTGTTGGAAATATATATTGTGGTTTACATGACTTATGGCCTCCTCTGCGCTCGCCACATACACCATCTAGCCACTCAAACCCTAACACCAAGAGTTCACCGTAAGTGGGTGGGCAGCGCTGATCTCTCATGCATAAGAGTTATATAGAGGTCACATTAGGAAGGAGCCATTGGAGCCTGACTTTCGGTGAACGGATGAACCACTCTACAAAAGCACGCATTGGGCAGACTGCGCCGTCCAAGGTACCCGGCCAGTTGACAATCCTGCAAGCTACGGCGCTTAGAGAGCTTAATCATTTCTAAAACCCAGGCGGAATGTGGATAGGGAAATGAGAAACACCCCTCCCAAATCACGGAAGAAGTACCGATTGTGTACTTGAGTTTCGTGCTTTTGGCGTGGCTGTATGTGATGTAGATACTTGTGAGGAGAGGCTGGGTAATGTGCTGTAGACGGTGGGACTCTACAAAAGGTTCTTACGGGGGGTGTGGTAACTTAATGCGTATGAGCACTTCGAAGTTTAATCTGGCGCGTCTGGTGTAAAGTGGTGCTCCTGTGTGGTCTCACTTGTCTCTGTGTGGTGGGTGTGCAAGTGAACGACCGGGCCGATGCGTGATGCGCAGTGACGGTTGCAATGAGAGCAGGATAGGCCAGGTAACCAAAGTGTTCGTCATTATACATTTGAGAGTGGGGTTCGAGCGTCAACAGCTTTTGGTTTTGTGGTCCCAAAACACGTCTATGTAGACATACAGATGATGGCCAAGTAGGCGAGTCAGTTTACGATGATCACCTGTCTATGCCCGCAGGCCTTTGAATGTGCCTAATAAGGATTGGTGATTTTTCACAAGGTTAGGTCTCCTCACAGGTGCGACATCCTGATTATGTTATTGGAAAATCTGAAGAACTAACTGGACCTTACCAAAAATTCCGAGATGACCTCCGGTCTCCAGAAGAACTGAAGATTGTACCGGTTATTGTCATCCAGTCGGGTAACGAGCCTAGCGTCCTGTACTTTTGGACCCTGCAGTGGACTGTGAAGAATTTCGGCGTCAAAGTTCAGGTAATCCTTCATTTCGAGGTGCAGGAGACCCTCTAAATTGCGCGACGGGAAATGAAAAAAAGCGTCAGGCAACCGACAAACCTGCGTCACTCTAGATAAAAAATGTAGCAAATTAAGAAAGAATATACTTTCGCGTTATTCCCGATCTCAAAACAGCGTGCCCGTGGTTCAATGATTGGCACGTTGGACTTCCACTTTACAGGCCGAAAATTCGAGCCCCGGGGGGTGCACCACCTAGGCTCGGACATGGCTGGCGGATAACAGGCCGTAAGCCAGAAATATCAGCAATGTTCATCTTTTGTGATGTGTACGGCAACCCGGCCCCGTCAATCCTATACTTACTCGAGGCTGGTACGGAATTAAATACAACGAAGGGGGAATGTATGAATACCGAAACCGTCTTGGTTTTCGTTATTCTGGGCTTCCTAATGTTTTGCGGGAAAGTACTCACAGGAATGTTAACGGAAAAAGTAGTCAGTCTGACTTCTGTTATCCTGAGGCGATCCGTCCAGCCGCCTTTGCGAAGAAAACATGAAACAGAACAGCACTGCTAGATCCCAGTAACATAGCCATCACCAAATTTTGTTTTCTAAGACTTCTCAATTCTGACGCCCAAAACCACTTTTGAATGTCTTAGCTTGTGGTTTACCACGTTGAAGGCGCTGCATCGTTGTTTGCAGAGACACTTTATTAGACAGGGCGATGCCCCTTTCATAAGGGGCTCTATAGGGAGAGTTGCGACAAGGGCAAATGAGTCATATAAAATACCAACTACCGTTATGGCTACGACTATGTCCTTAAGATTGACTGGCACATTATCTCCTTGAGGAAGGATATTGGTTTGGGTACGTTCTCTGTCTGCGTGATATACAATTTGTATGTTTTCACTGCACGCACGCCCTGTTATGTTGCTGGCTTATGTATCAAGCATCGTGTCGATTATTTCTCCGTTTATATATATATTTAGTGGCATAAACGCGTACACCGATCCGACAGAGGACCCACTCGTCCCCCATATTGCC